GTGATCCCTGCCTTCTGGTATTTATGGTCTTGCATAATCTCCTCCCCTTAAGTGTGGTCTGGATGTAGTACGGCTTGTAATTAATAGAATAATCACTAAAGTAATGGGATGTCACATCCAAGATTAGGTCTAAAATATGATTTCCTTCTTGCTGTTACCCTCTATCTTTGGCTCTTTCTCTAGCTGGCTTTGATGAAGGAAATTGGCATTTTCTGAGCTGTCCCAATGGAGAGTTCCACATGGGAAAGTACTGAGGGCAAACTCTGGCCAACAGTAAAAAAAGAACTAAATCTTGCCAACAATAATATGAATGAACTTGGAATTGATTCCTTTCGAATAGATCCTTGAGATGAATACAGCCCTGGCCAATATTTTGATTGCAACTCTGTGAGGCTAGATTCTGGAATTTCGCTGCAGAAAAGCCCATTATCTCCATGATCATGCTTGCCTGTAGCAGTGGCTGAAGTAGCATAAAGTTGGTTCTTCTGTCTCCTTGCTCATGTGGTCATGCATTATTTGGTAGAACTTATTTGATTTCAGAAGTCCAACTATAGACAGTCTGGGAAGAGTAGTTTCAGTTTTTCATCCTCTCCACTTTAGGAAGGCACACACTTGATTGAAATGGATGCTGAATGTCAACTCACCATATCTCCTTAGTATAGTAATGTGTTTGGATTTGCTTCTGGAAAAAAATGGGGAGCCCTCAAAGGTCCAAGGAATGGCATAATAAGTTCTGCATCTGAGAAAGTTCATTTATGTAGTGTAAGATGGTGGACTATAGGTGTGACAGAGAGCTTGCTGAGACTGGAAACAGAGCAAGAGTATAGAAGAAAAGTGATAAGAGCTTGAACTCAGGTTTGGGAAATAGCAAGGAAAGGTCAGAGAATGTGTAAGACAAAATAAATTGAATTCATTCCAATACAGTTAATATCTAATGCCACCAATTAAGCTCTGTCCCTTAATTCATGTACCCTGAGTGATACTACTCTAGGGATTTTTTTTTTCTAATGTAATGATAGTACTCCAGGAATGATCCTTACTTACTGTATTATCAAATCTAATAATTCTTTATCCTTTATTAAGTTTAATTCTCCATGATTCAGGCTTGGAGTGATGCTGAAGTGAAAGAAATACAGCACAACAACCAAAATTAACTTCAAAATAATCCCGTTTTTCCTGTTTCTCAAAAACTATGATCATACATATGCCACAGCAAAGTTTGTAATAATTTCCTTCCGACCCTATCTACTTCCATCACGCGCCCAACGACTCTGGGGCATTACCTTCCATAAATACCCCCAATCTCTCTTGACATCTACCCTCCTGTGATTCTTTCTTTACCTCATTTCCCTTTTATCCCTGCCTCTTTCTCATTCCTAAGGTTAACTTAGATTCTCTCCAGCAAAGTAAGCCTTTCCTTTTTTGAGAGGGAGATGCAGGGAAAATTAGACTGGCAATTGGAGAAGTAAAGTTTGCATGTTAGTATTTGTCTTGCCACAGTTTTCACTGTCAACTATTAGATATTTTTCATCATTTTTTTACCTCCAAACTAATTTCTCCTTTTTCCCTACCAAAACACTTGCATGTTAATGCCTTTAAAAAACTTTATCTTTAGTCCTGCCTTTCCCCAAATCTAAAAATTTACCTGTCTTCTAGATACTTCTACCCAGATATTGTTTCTGTACCAGAAACAACACATTCTCAAGCCAAGATTATTATCTTCTAATCTCAAATATACTTACTTTCTCCTCATACCCTAACTAGGCTAGTGAAATAACTATTCGTGTAGTTGCCCAAATTGAAAACTCCACTGTCATTTTTGAGTTACTTTGGTATCTCATCAATGAGCCAGTATTTCTGGCTAGTCTCTGAAATATCTCTGGAATCCATTTTCTGTCCTATCTGCGTTGCCATAGTCCAAACCCTTATCATTTCACATTGGCATGCTTTGTCTTACTGTCTCTAATCCCTCTTTTCTGTAGTTCAGCAATTCCCATTCACTGATCCTGGGGCCAGCTAGATCAGAGTCTCTGGGATTTTTTTTTTTTGCTTTTGTTTATTTGTTTGCTTCAGTACAGCTCTCTAGGTCCTAAACATGAAAAAAAGAAAAAAAAAAGAAACATTGATTCTTTTGGGCTGGGTTGGGGGCCCGTGATTTTGAGCTTTTACAAATCTCCATTGTTTGATGATCAGCTAGGTCTAGGTGTGCCTTAACAATTTCTTTAGTCCATATTTTACACCACTACTACTAGAATCATTTTGGAATCCCCCAAATCTTATTATGTCTCTGATGACTTTAATGCCATGATATTTTCCGTTGCCCATCAGGAGCCTAGGAATGAAAACACTGCAGTACTGGTCACTTGCATATCTTCCCAGCTTCATTTTTTCCCCATCTCTTCCCTATTACCATGAAACCTTAGCCTGCAGCCATAATATATAACTAGTTATCTGGACCTAAATTATGGCATTTAGTATAGTTAGGTTCAAAGTACTGTGAGTTGCAAATTGTCTCTCTTTCCTTCCAGATTTGGAACTCTTTCTTTGCTTAATGGTAATGGTATGTGTATGTAGTGGGCAAGGCTGGGGTAGGGGGATAGAATGTGGAAGGAGAGACAATTGGGAGGGTAGAAGGATTTAGATCCCAATCGTAGGACTTGTTTACTTGCTCTCAGCATGTCTACTTTATCCTAAAAGGTTATCTTAAGTACAGCTCAGAGAATTATTTTCTCTAGTTGATTGGCAAAGGGAACTCCTTTGATTGGTATTTATCAATGAGTAAATCATCACTGGTAAAATGAGGAAAAAAAGGTCCATGTAGTCAGCTTTTTTAAAAACTAGACTTACTTATTGACTTCTTTATTCTGATTTTTATATCCTTGCTCTTTGCTATCTTTTGTAAAATGATAGAAATGGAAGTATAATTTTCAGTGTCTTTATCTGAAAACATTAGAAAGTTAAAAAGCCTATTTTGACCCTTAACTTTAAAAAAGAATCATTGGTCTATAAAATTAGAAACTACTGGGACTGCTATTGCCTGGGTGTCTGGGAGAGGGCCCAGTAACAATTTTTCTTTGTTCAATGGAGAATAAAGTGAATTTGATTAGGAAGGAGACTTTTAGACCAGGCTGTACTTCTAGCTATCTATGACATTTGCCTTCATTTTTTTTAACTTTGTAAAGAATTTTGAGAAACTTATCTTTGACCCTTGTGAGACTTATATTTTCTGACCATATGAGCTGGACCAGGTAAGTCTTTGCTGAAGTTGGTGACTACATCAATGAGGGAACAGTTCTTTTTATTTATTTATTTATTTATTTGACAGACAGAGATCACAAGTAGGCAGAGAGGCAGGCAGACAAAGAGGGGAAAGCAGGCTCCCCACAGAGCAGAGAGCCCCATGTGGGGCTTGATCCCAGGACCCTGGAATCATGACCTGAGCTGAAGGCAGAGGCTTTAACCCAATGAGCCACGCAGGTGCCCTGAGGGAACAGTTCTTAAAGGTTTTTAGTGGTTCTCCTTTTTTCCTTGTTATTGCAAATGGATTTAAGAAAAATTCCCTGAAGTTGGGATGGGAGTCCTGAGTTATTATTCTTACTTATTTTTGGCATGTGACTGATATCAAGCTTACGTACTGGAATAGCTGACATCTCTATATTGTCATTTACAGAAGAAGTGTTGTGGTGTAGGGAAAGGAGTATGGGCTCTGTGGTCATTCTGACTTGGGATTAAATCCTACCTTTTGGCACTTAAGTGGACCTGTGACCAAAGAAAAGTGATTTAACTCCTCTAAATCCAATTTCTACCTAATTAAAAAAAAAACGACAATAATAATTCTTCTCAGGGGAAACATAATGATTAAATAGGACAACATGTGAAAATGACTACCATGGGGTGCCTGGGTGGCTCAGATGGTTGAGCATCTGCCTTTGGCTCTGGTCATGATCCCAGGGTTCTGGGATCAAGCGCTGCGTCAGTCTCCCTGCTCAACGGGGAGTCTGTTTCTCCCTTTCCCTCTACAGTTCCCCCTGCTTGTGCTCCCTTGCTCTGTCAAATAAGTAAATAAAATATAAAAAAAAAAAAAAAAGACTACCACTTAGTAGACACTCAGTAAATGTTTTTCCTTTCTTTCCTTCCTCCTTCTCTTCCTTCCTCTCCTTTTTTTTTTTTGAAGATTTTATTTTTTTATTTGACAGACAGAAATCACAAGTAGGCAGAGAGAGAGAGGGGAAGCAGTTTCCCTGCTGAGCAGAGCACCTGATGTGGGGCTAAGGGAGAGGCTTTAACCCACTGAGCCACCCAGGTGCCCCTCTTCCTCTCCTTCTTTTCTCCTTTCCTTTCTTCCATAATAATGACAATTACATTTCGTCAGTATGTTTGCAATGGGCACCTGGGCTATCTAGTGGATAGGTGGTTTTTCTCCTTCCCTCTTCCTCCTCCTGAGTAGAGCATATACCTGTCTAAATTAATAGTAGATGATAATATCCTGACATATAGTAGATGTCCACAAGATGGCAGATCTAGTGTGGAAGATCTGATTATTTTTCAGCTAACATACATAGAAGGAAGGCCATTACTTAGGCTCTTTCTGCTTTTTTTCCTTCACATCCTAAGAACTAGATGAGGCTGAGAAAACTTAAGGAATGACAAACCAGAATTTCAGACTCACAGACCTCAGTGCCAGGAAGACTGTCAATGAGTGAAATGGGCTAGATGTGAAGGAACAGGGAATAGTATGAGATCCACAGGGCACCTTTAGTTTGGCATGAAGATGCAATAGAGCATGGAAGACTGCGGTAAACTGAAGCAAGTGGAGCCCTCTTAAAGGGGACAGCCACTGCTTAGTCTGAGATAATTATCGCTGTGGGGGAATATGGGCTCTCTATCTCCAGATCTTCCCATTTTTTCAAGGGAACCAGGAATATAAATATGTGAAAACTCTTGACTTTTTAAAAAGATTTTATTTTTAAGTAATCTCTGCACCCAACGGGGGGCTTGAACTCACAACCCCGAGATCAAGAGTCACATGCTCTACTGATTGAACCAGGCAGGCACCCTTTGATTTTTCATTCTTGGCAACTAAGCCAAAATTTAAGATAATACTCTGTGGGCCAACTGCAAAAGACTGTGACAGCAGTTCATCGCCTGTGAGCCTAAAGGATCATGGGGCTAGCTAGCTGTGGTGTCACTGGTGAGGGGAAGATGATGTTAGTGGTCCAAAAGGGAAAACCAGAGAGGGAAAGAGAAAGCTAGAGAAATAGGACAAATAACACTCCTGCATCCTCAGCTCCCTGTGAACTCTGAAATGGATTGTAATGTAGGACCCAAATGCTAAGTAAAGGACTGTTTATGTGTGTGTTACTTGACTGACTTAAAATAAGACCACTTGAAGCAAGAATAGCCCCATATGGTGATATATGTCCTACGTGTTTTATAAATATTTGTTTTTCAAAAACCAAAATTGTCCCTCTTTTGTTTTGCAAAAAACAGATTACTTCAATTTTGTGTGAAACGTATAATGTATCTATGTAAATAAGAGAGCAAAGAAATTTTCTGAATACTTTTATTTTTTTGACACAAATATCTCCGTATCTCTTGGGATTTTTTTGCTGAAAAAGGAGAGCTGGTGATACATTTGTTAATGACATTTAAAAAATGTGCTTCAGTGTATAGAGGTAATAATGTACTTTTTAGGTATGTTAATAATAAATTAAGGTTATAATGGCTGCCATGTTAGAGAAAATAATGAATAGATGAGTCTTAATAAAAAATTAGTTTTGCAAGAAGATAAGCTAGGGGTATCAAAACTGAAAAAATTAGCTTCATACACTTTACTGTATACAAGTTTTTGATAAATAACATTCAATTATAGAATGTAATACCTTACCCAGCACCTGACATATTCAATAAATGTTTGTCAAATTTTACTGCTTTTTAACACAGTAATTTTCCTCAGTAATTTCTCAGATAAAACTCAATAAAAGTAAAAAATTATAATAGATTTGTTTTGGTTCCTTATAAAAGTGTATACTTCTAGAGGAAAAAGCAGCAAGAAAAAGAAAAGAAAAGTGTGTGTGTATTCTAAAAAGTGATTCCAACTCAGATTATTTAAAGATGACTACTTTGACCCTATCTGTTGTTATAGTCCCTGCTGACAATATGCTGGCAACATCCTTGGCCTCATTCTTTTTTCTCTACTTATTTTGGCTTTACAGAGATCAGGTCTCAAATCATGGGAATCTCCCTGGCCTTTAGCTGCTGAACTTTTCTTTCCTTCTTTTGTTCTTGCCTGGCTCAGAAGAGCATGCCAGATGATGTGTATTACGTTTCCAGAGTGAAGAAAGGATCTGGCCTGTGGAATCAATAGAGAAAGCCTTGGTCTAGGTGGTTTCTTGGTTTTCAACTCACCTATTCTCAGCCAACCAAGAAGCCTCTTTATAAATGTGTTCTGATTAGCTGTTTTAGGTCCCTGTGCTTTGCGAAGCTCCTTTCTCCCACAGAGATATTAGGACATAGCCAGGCTAGAAAGGCTGTCGGAAGCTTTGGAGGTAGGAGGATAGGATCCAGAAAGGATTGCAGTAAGAAAAAGGGAATTTCATTTGGTGAACTCCATAGTCCAAAGGTAGCCCTGAGTTGATTCCATTTAGGAACCAAGGGTGGACTTTCTTGTTTGGTTCTTCAGCCCTTTAAGTTTCCTCATCTGGGGCCAGGATATGTATCAGGAAAGAAATCAACCTTGGTGTGTCCTCTCCTTTCTTTCTCTTCTAAACTTCAGCTTCCAGGCATCGTACTGTAGTTTTAGGTGGACTCTTGGGCTCTTCTGGCTTTTTATCAGTTTTCTTTGATTCCTCATTAGAGTTGCTATCATCAGCCTTCTCCTCCTTTACTACTTTGGTTTCAATCATTTCCTTCTGCTGATTCTTGTTTGTAAAAGGAAAGTTCTTCACATACCTTCAGGCATAATTATAAAATTAAAGTGAGAGATTTATATGTAACACATATGGCAATAGATAACACTTTGTCATAGCCCCTATTAGCACAGTACACTGGATACCTTTATTTCAGAGAGGTTCGAACACATGCACACTCAAATACATTAATGCATCCCCACTTTAGTGGATTCATTTAGATGAGACAGTAAGTTTGCAGGCCATACTTGATGCTGACCTCATAACCCTCCCACCAAGAACAAAGAATTGAGAATCAAAACAAAACCTATATTTTCCCTCTAGATGTCAGTCTGTTCTTTTTAGCTCTTGATTTTCAAAGGGGTTGCACTGACCTGTTTGTAAAGGCTGGGTGACATGCGTGAGCTGAAATAGTAGGAAAGATTGGGTGGTGGGAGGAAAGGTGAGATGAGGGAGAAAATTTACAATATAAGAAGACCATCATTTCTGTTTTGACCAAGAAAATGCTAACAACCTTAGAAAAACACAAGATAGGGATGTGACATAGATTATAAGGCCAACAATGTGCCAATAAACCCACCTTTTGACGTAGCAAATTGCCAGACCAGCTGCAGCTGCAAAGAAGAGGAGTGCGAGCACTAGTAGAGCCGTGGGGACACCTGGAGGAAACAGACACATGGCCTATTGGTCCTTCGCTTATGCATTGTTTTGTGTTGCTCTTCTTCTTCTTTTTTTTTTTAAATTTTTAAATTTTTCATTTACATAAAATATATTATTTGTTTCAGGGGTACAGGTCTGTGATTCATCAGTCTTACACAGTTCAAAGTGCTCACCATCGCACATACCCTCCTCAATGTCCATCATCCAGCCACCCCATCCCTCCCCTCCAGCAACCCTCAGTTTGTTCCTGAGATTAAGGATCTCTTATGGTTTGCCTCCCTCTCTGCTTTCATCTTGTTTCATTTTTTCCCTTTTTTCCCCTATGATTCTCTGCCTTGCTTCTCAAATTCTACATACAAATGAGATCATATAATTGTCTTTCTCTGATTGACCTATTTCACTTAGCATAATACACTCTAGTTCCATTCATGTTGTTGCAAATGGCAAGATTTTAATTTTTTGAAGGCTGCATAGTATTTCATTGTATATATATGCCACATCTTCTTTATCTATTCATCTGTTGATGGATATCTAGGCTCTTTCCAAAGCTTGGCTAATGTGGACATTGCTGCTATAAACATTAGGGTGCATGTGCCCTTTTGGATCACTACATTTGTATCTTTGTATCTCCTGGGTAAATACCCAGTAGTGCAATTGCTGGGTCATAGAGTAGCTCTATTTTCAACTTTTTGAGGAACCTCCACACTGTTTTCCAAAGTGGCTGCACTAGCTTGCATTCCCACCAACAGTGTAGGAGGGTTCCCTTCTCTCCGCATCCTTGCCAACAACTGTCGTTTCCTGACTGGATAATTTTAGCCATTCTGACTGGTGTTAGGTGGTATCTCATTATGGTTTTGATTTGTATTTCCCTGATATTGAGTAATATTGAGCACTTTTACATATGTCTGTTGGCCATTTCAATGTCTTCTTTGGAGAAATGTCTGTTCATGTCTTCTGCCCATTTTTTGATTGGATTATTTGTTCTTTGGATGTTGAGTTTGTTAATTTCTTTGTAGATTTTGAATACTAGCCCTTTATCTGATATGCCATTTGCAAATATCTTCTCCCATTCTGTCGGTTGTCTTTTGGTTTTGTTCTGGATTTTTTTGCTGTGCAAAAAGCTTTTTATCTTGATGAAGTTCCAATAGTTCATTTTTGCCCTTGCTTCCCTTGCCTTTGGTGATGTTTCTAGGAAGAAGTTGCTGCGGCTGAGGTCGAAGAGGTTGCTGCCTCTTCCTCAAGGATTTGAGGATTTTGATGGATTCCTGTCTCACATTGAGGTCTCTCATCCATTTTGAGTCTGTTTTTGTTTGTGGTGTAAGGAAATGATCCAGTTTCATTCTTCTGCATGTGGTTGTCCAATTTTCCCAATACCATTTATTGAAGAGACTGTCTTTTTTCCACTGGACATTCTTTCCTGCTTTGTCAAAGATTAGTTGACCATAGAGTTGAGGGTCCATTTCTGGGCTTTCTGTTCTGTTTCATTGATCTATGTGTCTGTTTTTGTGCCAGTACCATACTGTCTTGATGATTATCACTTTGTAATAGAGCTTGAAGTCCAGGGTTATGATGCCACCAGCTTTGGTTTTGTTTTTCAACATTTCTCTGGCTATTCAGGGTCTTTTCTGGTTCTATACAAATTTTAGGATTATTTGTTCCATTCTGTGAATAAAGTTGATGGTATTTTGATAGGGATTGCTCTAAATGTGTAGATTGCTCTAGGTAGCATAGACATTTTCACAATATCTGTTCTTCCAGTCCATGAGCATGGAATGTTTTTCCATTTCTTTGTGTTGCTCTTCTAATGATTCTTTATACAGATCCAGAACAGATAATGCAGGAGAAAATCCTTCTCTGTGACCACAAAGGGGCTACTTAGAATGTTGGGCCCACATCTGCTTCTTTGCTTCTTGCCTATAGAAATCCTTGGCCTTGCCTCGCATCCTCTCTATATTCTATAAATTGCAATATGACGGAGTCCATTTCCTCTCTGTGACCTTGAGATGATATGTTGGAGCTAATTAAGTGTAAACCCTTCCTTTTAAATAAGACAAACTTTTAAATCATAGGCATTTAAGGTATATATTTTAAAAAGAACTTTGATGTATTAATAGATAGTGATTTATTTTTAAAAGGCTTTGAGTTTTTAAAAGTGAAGCTATTTCATGCTATGCAGCCATCAAAAGAAATGAAATCTTGCCATTTGCAATGACGTGGATGGAACTAGAGGATATTATGCTGAGCGAAATAAGTCAATCAGAGAAAGACAATATCATATGATCTCTCTGATATGAGGAATTTGAGAGGCAGGGTGGAGGGGTTGTGGGGGGTAGGGAAGGAAAAAGTGGAACAAGAAGGGATCGGGAGAGAGACAAACCATAAGAAACTCTTAATCTCAGGAAGCAAACTGAGGGTTGTTGGGGGGCCGTGGGGGGTAGGGATAGGGTGGCTGGGTTATGGACACTGGGGAGGGTATGTGCTATGGTGAGTGGTGTGAAATGTGTAAGCCTGATGTTTCACAGACCTGTACCCCTGGGGCAAATAATACATTATATGTGAACAAAAAAAAAGTGAAGCTATTTTATACTCACGATTTTTTGTTTAATACTTAATGTTTTTTAGAGCCCTCAAGTTCTACGACTTTATGAAAATTGAGTTTGCGTTAAGGTTTTACTTGTATTTGGCAGGTCCTGAGTGCCTACTCTGGAGACAACATGGTTTTTATGTACTGTCTGTTATACATAAACACACAAACACACACATGCAATGCAAACATAGAAAGCTTTTACCTCCAAACCCAATGGCCCCATTCTTGAATGCTGCTTTATTTTCGATATATGACTCAGTTTCTGTTGCTGTAGCTATGGTGCTAGTTTCCATAAAACCTTCTGTTACACAAATCAATTTTCTTTTCCGTTTAGTAGAAGTGGAAGCCCGAGCAGAAGTAGGAGCAAGAGTAGGAGTAGCAGAGTAAGGTACATCAGTAGCTGAAGCGGAGTATGCACTGTCACTGACAGTTTCCGTTGTGTATGTTGTCTCTTCACTATTGAATATGGGATCGTTGGTGGTGATAATTTCTGGAAGGCATGAGTTAATCCAAATATCTGTTGGGGGAGGGAAAAATAAGGTTACAAGTAAGTATTAAAACAGTCTCCTAATTTTTATTCCTGCCTCTAGTCTTAGTCCTCTCTAATCCTCTTACAGTGCAGCCAGAATGATCTAACAAAAATACAGATCTAATCATATCACTTCCTTCCTTAAAATTCTTCAGTGACTGCCTCTATTGCATGACCTATAACGCCCCCTGTGATCTGTCCCCTGCTGACATGGCTAGCCTTATCTGATCAGTTTGTCTTTCTTCCTACCTTCTCAGATTTCTTCTGTTCTTTGATACTCTTTCTTTCATATCCAAGGCTTTGACCATGATGCTTTCTTTACCTGTAAGTCTTTTTGCCCCTTCTTTACTTAGCTCTTACTTATCCTTCAAGTCTCAGATTGAATATCTCTTTATTAGGCAGATTTGATGACTAGATTGTGTCCCTAGGCATGTTTTTATACCTCATTCTACTTCCCTTGTCAAAGTTCTCATTGCACTGCTCCGTACTGGAAGATCTCCCTGGAAGCAGGAACCCTGCCTGTCTTAGTCATCATGGTATGCTTTCTGTGCCTAGCACAGAGCTCATGCTCAATCAATAATTAATGAATTAAGAAAGAATGGAGAAGCAACAGGATGGAAGGAGTAAATGAGGACACCAAATATACACACACATGACAATATACACTTCAGGACAAAGATTAAAAAAAAAAACAGATTTCTCTGTGCTCTTCAAAATAAAAATTTTTTTTAAAGAGGGGAGCAGAGGAGGGATATAGATTTGCTTTTCAATCTGTTGAATGTGATACAGAGGAAACAACATTTTTTGAGCATCTTATCTGAGTCGATCATGACACTTCATTTAATGGTTTTATTCAATTCTCATTTTATAGGAGGAGACTGAAGTTTAGTGAAACTGAATAACTTGCCCAAATTCACATAGCTGGTAAATGATAGAGCCATGTAACATATTATAGTATGAGTTTGCATCTATTTTAAATTCCTACTTATTTCTGGCAGTAGGTAACATCAGCTGGACTGTTAGTTAAGAAGAAAAAGTTATTCCATTCATTTTTGAAAAATACAATAAATTACCAATCAAGGGTCATGGATACTACTGATAAAACATTTTGACTGTACACATTCAGAATTTTATAATATTTTTTTTACTTTGAAAACATCTCTATTCAAACACATACCATCCTTGACTTTTGCCTTGAACTTTTAGTTTCATTTCTTATTCTTGAGCACATGCTAAGTTTTTCCTTCAAAAAATGAAAATTTTTAATATCAGGGGAAAGAAATACTGAATACAAAAGACCACATTGGGAACTGAAAATACAGAGACATAGAGTAAAGTTTCAATTTCCAGGACAGACGTATTTTGATAAAGGTAAGAGGAAATCACTGGGGATTCACAGAGGAGATGGTATGGAGGGTTAGTAAGTTTGTTTAACAAATATTTGTTGAGCCCCAACTATGTGCCAAACACTGTTCTAAGTGCTAAGGTCATGGTACAAAGAAGACAGAGTCCTTACTTTTAAGGGGCCTATATGCTAATGGAAGGATATATTAAAAAAAAAAAAAAAAAGGCCAGGATGCTTAGGTGGCTCAGTTAAGTGTCTAACTCTTGATTTCTGCTCAGGTCATGATCTCAGAGTTTTGAGATTGCTCCATGCCAGGCATGGAGTGTGCTTAGGATTCTCTCTCTTCCTCTCCTTCTGCACCATCCCCTGACCCTCTTCATCTCTCCTAAAAAGAAAAAAAAAGTCAGAAATTTTAGAGGGTGATAAATGTTAAGAAGAAATTAAAATAGGATAAAGATTAAACCAATAGGGGTGGGGAATATGAGATGGATACTTCGACTAGGATGATGAAAGTGGAGAGGTGATACTTAAGCTGAGACCTAAATGATAAAAAGTAGCCAGTCATTGAAGATCTAGGGCAAAAGCATTCCAAGTAAAGAGAACAGGAAGTTCAAGAGTCCAAAGTTGAATGAACTCAGTGTGTTTGATGAATAAAAGACCACTATGGCTGGAACACAGCAGTAGCTCCTCTAGTATGGAAGAGGGAATAGAACATTCCAGTCAAAGGAATAGCATGATGCAAGAATCCAGAAGTTTGAAAATGTAGTCATACCAAATAATGACAAGGAGTACAGTGTGGTTGGAGAGCAGGGTGTGTGTATGATTGGGAGCGTGAAAGACTGAAAGCAGAAGATGACTGGTAAGATAGGCTGGAGCCAGAGTTTTGAGATTCATAATTGCCATGTTAAAGCATTTGGAATGTATTTTGTAGGAGATGGAATTTTCAACTGGGTCCATATATCTCCCAACTAATATATAGGAGTTCTCATACATGCTCACTTTTATGTGTAAAAGGCTTCATATTTTACATCATATTCTCAAATAAGAAGTCACCCAAGGGCTGTGGAGCAGAGAAGTAATGTAATTATCAGTGGAGGCATGTGGAGGATGAAATGCAGTGGGGAGAGAGTACAGTCCGGGAACAAGAAAGGAGATTATTGCAATTGCAAAGAACTAGAGGAATCTAGAAGTACCTGGAATCCTAAAACTTGGATCTTAGAGATCTCCTAAGAAAGAGTGATTTTGAACTCTGGCTAGACCTTGGAATCATCTGTGGAGCTTTTAAAAAACACTGATGCCCAGAACCCAACCTGGGCCTGGTATGTTATTGATGTATAGTCATCACCATGGAAGATGCTATGTGGAAGTAGTATGACTCAAGGTTTAAAGCCTGGCTCTTTCCCTTATTGACTATGACCATAGCAAAATACGTGCTAAGCATTCAGTTATTTCTCCTGGAAAATATAAATGATACATTTGTGTCATTTCACTGAGGATTAATGAGATAATAAATGTGTGGGGCTTAGCATAATGTATGGGCATGATAGATAGGCTCTATCTAAGAATTCGTTTCCTTTGCCTCTCTGTTTATTAAATGTAGCCCAGAGAGCCACAGTGTGAGGGAGCAACAGCAGTCTGATCCTGTGATCCCTATTGGGTTGAGGGCACACCTAGAAGTGTTAGGACCTAGCTCTCCTTCCCCTCCAAACTATGAATATAATTTCTTTAAAATGTACCAAGTACTCTGACATTAAACACAGAGTGTGGTTGGACTCCAAGAGGAAAGATAGGAGTAAGGGGTATGGGAAGTCTTCTTGAAGAGGCTGGCATTTGAAAATTGAGTAGAATAGCAGTTAGTTAAGTGGGGAGGAAGATAGGCATTGTGGCAGAGGAACGGCATGAAACAGATGGTGCATGCCAAGCTGTCAAGGCACTTTGGTCTGGTCTCCCAAAGCTTACAAAGATAGCAATTAAAAAAGACAATTAGGATAAGGTGTTAGGGTCAGGTTTAGAGTTATTTTAATCCCCAGACCTCACAAGATAGCTATAAAAAAAAGGTTACAAAAACAAAGAAACATAGGGTAAGTTTAGGAGTAGAGTTTGGATAAGGGTTAGGTTAACTCTGACCCTCACAAAGATGGCAAACAGAAGCAGGTGAGCCCAGTTTATTTGAAAATGATAATATAACCACACAGATCTGTGAATTTTTCTAGTCACATTTGCACATAGTTGTTTGTTTGTTTTGTTTTTGTTTTTGCACATAGTTTTTTCGACAGTACACTGTTAGAGGGCTATCTTCTGGGGACTGAAAGAAATTCAAAGAAATATCAAATTTCACTCAATAGGTTCATTATTCCTAATAATGTTTGTTTTACAATTTTGAAACTATTATAGGATAAGAAAGTATATTACTATTATTTATTGGGAACTAAGATCTTCCGTGTAAGAGAAAAAAGATGCAGGTGTAAAACAAACTAAGAAAAATTTGAATTGTTAAATTTGAGTTGGAAATATCAATACAAATTCATAATTTTTAGATATATGTATGTATGTGTAAATATATGGTTAGCTATTCATTAAAAATACTGAGAAGCAATGAAAACTCCTTTGGTAATGAGAATTACTTGAATTCAGATCTTGGTTTCTACTTAACATTTTCCATTACAAAGAACCTGGGCTTCTTGGAGAAATAAATGGCTGATTCCACCAGGGGCAGAGAAAGTACAAAGTAAGTCTGGGACATGCTATTATTATGTTAGAAAGGAATTGCTCCAATACTAATGGAATAAAGGGCACAAAGGTCAACTGGGGGGGGCTCCTACTCATCAAATTTGAGACAATTTGAGCATCAGAAAGAATAGAAGGATAATAATTGTAAAGTTGATAACATGTTGAACACACAGAATAAGTAAAATGTCATGTGTCCATAGTAGTATAAGCAGGAGGGAAGTGTGCGTGCGTGTGTGTGTGTGTGTGTGTGAGAGAGAGAGAGAGAGAGAGAGAGAAATTCTTCTTTATCAAAGAATGCCAGCTAACAAATGCAGAAGGAAGATTTAGAAAGTCACAATCTTGTGGCCCTACATATAATGACTGATTCCAGGAATAATTACCAATGGCTGCTTAAACTACTAGGTACAAGATGGTTGGGGTCAGAATATTTGCATGGTGCCAAAATATCACAGTGTAGATTACCTACTCATTGCAAGGGGAAAAACATATCTTTATGAGTTCATTTAGAAAGGTCTAGCATCTTATTGAAATGATCAAAGTTAGCATATTAGTAATGGGACATACTGGTATTAAGTGACTTTTGTTGAGAAGTGATCTAAAGTACACAGAATAACCTATGAAGTCTTTTTTTAAAAAAATTATCAGTTAGCTACTATATAGTATATCATTACTTTTTGATGTAGTCTTTTTGCCAAAAAATATTGAACAAGAGTTGAATCAAGCCTCCAGCTCTAACTTCAATTATACAGGAAATATAGGGGTTGGAAGTACAAGTTAAATGAAACCATGAGGAAACACTCAAATCCAAGTCCTCTTCCTGTGACCCCATTTTGTGAAGTCCAGAGGACTGGGTATCATATCATCACACTGGCAGGTAGGAGGAAGGCAAGAAAGTTAAAACACCAGGTCATTTCTCAGGCATGAGCTGGCTATGAGTGATACAGGCATGTGAACCACCAATTCCCCAGCCAAAAGTGGTGGGCAGAAGAGGCAGAGGAGAAGAAGGTAATGGTAAGCAAATGTTGGAAGAAGCTTTATGTTCCAGTCTTGACCCTGCCACCAACTGAACAAGCCAGATCTCCAGTCTGAGCTATTATTTCATACATGAAATGAGGAAAGAGGACAAGGTGTCTTTGGAGTCCCTTTCCAGATCAAAGCCTCCTGATTCAGAGAACTGCTTGGACCCTTTGTTGCCTTTGTGCAACATAATGTTGCTAGTGCACATAAGATCTCTTGGATCTTAGAGTATGACTTTGGAATCTATCCTTGTATGTGACCACTTAGCTGTCTGACCTTTAGAAGGTCAGATTTATGAGTAGGTGTGAAGGGTAATAAATCAGCAGAGGATCTTATGATAAGCTGAGAACAAGTATTTAGTGAAGGAAAAACTTTCAGAGATGTTCCTTAGGTAGAGCACTTGGGTTAAAATGGTTGTGGTCTCCAAGCAAGGTTAAAAGAACAACTGTGTGACCAAGAGCAAACTAATTCTATTTTCTAGCTTTAACTCCTTCCTTCATAAAATGATCTTAAACCATGAAGATGTCAGGTGTACCATCTGAATTTCTTCTCTAAAAAAAATGAAGGTTAAAAGAAAGAGCATGGTTTGAGAGTTAGACCTCTGTTAAAATCTTCGTAGTAGTGAGAACTTAGACAAATGTACTTATATCCTCTGAGCTTAATTTCCCCCTCTACAAAATGGGGGTGACAAAGTGTACTTTAGAGAAAGATTGTCAAGTTTCAGTGTGATAACTCAGTACATTGCTTTGTCTAGAGTGGATATTTCCTTACCTTATAAGATGGAGGGGCATGGGTAATGGAGCCTCCTGGGATACCCTCTCCCTATATTGCCATTTAGTCATACTTTCCCTAACTTTTTCCTCTGAGGGGCACATAGCCACCTCTAGCTTGGTCACCAAGGCATTCTTGGGAGTATTAAATGACCATCACCATGATTTCTTCAGTGCTGTTCAGGGTACTCTTCTCAGACGGATCATAGAGCTAGAGAAAACATGCAGAGGCTGTAGATTTGACTTACCAGATGAGTTGTAACAGTAGGCCAAAAACTTTTTGCTGACTGAATTTCTCCAAATCAGGACACCTGTCCCATTCTTCCCACACTTGGGGTTCGGCAGAATCCGAGGGATGACCAAGAACTTATCTGCAACCCATCCATAGCTATAACAGAATACACATTATTTGACCATTCAAATACATTCAAATACATACATTTATTTCTATTGCTCAACAAGAACACAGTGCTGAAAGAGCTCCATCAGTGTTTATGAATCTAGTTGTTTCTCACCTGCAAGTCTCAAAGCCAAACCTCCATGCTGCTTCAACCTGGTCTTTACTGGCCAAAGTTAGTCCCATCAGCCTACAGGCCTCCTGGGCTTCTGCAAAATTCAGCTGCTGGGCTGCCCTTTTGTTCACAAGGGTGACCCCCATAATTCTGCATGGCCCTGAGGTGGAAAGTTCTGCAAAGGAATCACAGAAACCCTTAATTTGCTGCTGTCCTTGTTCCCAGCCTTTAGGCTCTTCTTCCTAGTAGAGCATTATTGTCTTGATACAGCAATGAAGCCCTTGTGGCTGAGATTGAAGTTTAGAAATAATGGAACATAAGCCAGGCATTTCCCACAAGGTAAATACTGCTGGGTTAGCTGGGTCCTTGCTCTTGTCCAAGCTATACCTCTCATCAGATTGGAGTCTATCATGCCCCACTGCATAGTTGCCTTGTTCCTTATGTGGAGGCTTTGGTTACCAGTTCCTGGGGTTAGGTCTAGGTGATGCAGTTGTGGCAAACCTTTTTGGAGTCTATAAAATAAAAGGTCTGAGACTTTGAGAAAGATAGAATTCAGGGCTCTGGTTAATAGAAAACCAATGTGGCTTGGGAATACCACTATTTCTGAGATGGGCTGAAAAATGTTGCACTTGGTATAACAGAATGTGAGCCTTCTCAGTCCCAGGTCTTCTCTGACCATTGGGGGGCAGGCTTACTCTGAAGTTCCTGGAGGAACTGGGCAGTAAACCTTGCATGGTGAGGAAACTAAATTAAGAAAGTTGAGTTTTAGAGTTAGACCTGTATTTAAATCTGGCCTATGTCACTTGCTGGCTCTGTGATCTTAGGCTAGTTACTTCATCTCTTTGAGCCTCAGTTTCCTTATTTATAAAATTGAGAAAGTAACAGTATCTATATTATAGGGTAATGAGAGTTGAAAGAGTTAATTCAAATAAAAATGTTTAGCATAGTGCCTGCCGCATAGTAGATGCTCAGCAAATCATAAATAACATCATTATGTTCTCTTCAAAGCTTTTTGGTTCTAGTCACCTTATGACTGATCTCCCTGGGGAAGCTGAAGCAGTTGAACAGATATGTTGTAAATATATTTTACTCAAAAGTTAATGAATCCAAGAATTCTTTTGATCCCCTTTCTTGATTCTGGGATTTATAGACCTGTATGAAATTGCAAAGTTGTATCACATTCAGGTACATTATTCCTATTGGGCTTTATCCACAAGAGTCCATAAGAGGACATTACAATCTTCTAAGAAGTTGTTTGTACACAGATCTGTGCATTGGATGCCCAGTTAAATGCTTTGACCACTTTCTAGGTTGGTATTTAAAGTTTCTTCTTGCAAACGTTAAAGGAACATTTCTAAGTCTTCCACTGACCTTGCAATGCTCTGGACCAGGGGGCTGGAAGAGGGGATATGTATATGATGTATAATAATTACAGATGGCTTTATTTGCTTCCAGACCTTGCTCTCGTCAAAAGAGACACTAGAGTGCCAATACCCCATATTAGTGTTTGTGACAAAACAGCCTCTTATGACTATGCACTAACACTAATACCTATACCAATACTGGTATTAATACTAATGCTAGTATTAATTCTAACATCTATCATCTGTTTATGTTGCTCTGTGCCAAACCCTTTGTCCTTTAATAGAAAGTGGAAGCTCAGGAAGATTAAATAACTTTCCCAAGCCCAAGGATATACACCAAAGACATAGGACAGATTGGGGGCACAAACCCAATTATGACTGACCCTAAAACTGCAGTTTTTAACTAGGACACTATTCTGTTTCCTGCTGTATTATAGGGGAGATGAACACACACCCACACCCACACACACACATTATACAACTAGAACTGGACTCTCCAAACACACATTTTCCCTGGAATTTGGCTTATTTAGTCCATGAGCTTGCTATTGCTCAAATCCCATGGCTGCAAAGAAGGTTTATTAATTACACTATCAAGTGGTCTTGCTACTTTTTCATCAAAACTTATTTTTACCGGGGTGCCTGGGTGGCTCAGTGGGTTAAGGCCTCTGCCTTCGGCTCGGGTCGTGATCCCGGGGTCCTGGGATTGGGCCCTGCATCGGGCTCTCTGCTCAGCGGGGAGCCTGCTTCTCCGTCTCTCTCTGCCTGCCTCTCTGCCTACTTGTGATCTCTCTCTGTCAAATAAATAAATAAAAAATATTTAAAAAAAAACTTATTTTTACCTTAAAGTTATCATTTAGAGTAATGATAGACCTATTCTGGGCAATAGACCTAGCCTTGATTATTTTGTCTGTTATTAATTGGCTCTGGGACCTTGGGCAAGGTAGTGTTCTCATCTATAAAATGGAGATGGTTATATCTTCTTCACAGAATTTTTGTCAGAATAGATAACTTGTACCTAGCAGGGTCTCCATCATAGGTAGTCAACAAATAGTGGTCATTTTTATGCTTTCCTATTTCATTTAAAGACAAAAAGAAGGAGCTGGAATCCAAGAGCTACTCCACTAATCTCTTCCTTAAGATTTAAAAAATATATATTTTATTTATTTGACAGAGAGATAGAGAGAGAGCACAAGTAGGCAGAGTGGCAGACAGAGGGAGAGGGAGAAACAGGCTCTCTGCTGAGCAGGGAGCCTGATGTGGGGCTTGATCATGACCTGAGCCAAAGGTAACTGCTTAACTGAGAGAGTCACCCAGGCGCCCCTCCTTAAAATTTTATTTTTCCCTTAAAATTTTTTTAGGAAACAGCAGGCATAGTAGAAATACCCTATGCTTAGGATCAGACAGGGCTGGAATTCAAACCCAAGCTTTATTATTTACCATCTATATGGCATTAGGCAAGTCACTTGGCCTTACTTGAGCCTGTTTCTTCATCTATAAAAGTCTTCTTAGAAGATTAAGTGAAATTTTATATATTACATATATAAAAATTATATATAATATATGTAATAAAATAGTTTAATTTCCTTAGGAAATTTTTGCCATCATCAAAGATGGTCTAAAGAATGCGATGGATTGGGGAGGGTATGTGCTATGGTGAGGGCTGTGAAATGTGTAAACCTGATGATTCACAGACCTGTACCCCTGGGGCAAGTAATACATTATATGTTAATAAAAATAATTTAAAAAAAGAAAAAAGAAAGAATGCAATGGAATCATTGTCATAGAACAATTTTGAGTTCTACTTAAACATAAAGTTTGAGTAATGGCAGCATTGTGGGGAAAAGTGAATAATATCTCCAGAGGAATTTCAAAGAGGACAAAACTAACTTGAAAGTAACAGTTCTGGTATTTGAAAAAAATGAATTATATAACTGTAACCTCTCATAAAATTAAATACAGTAATAAATGAAGCAACTCAGGATATCTGATTCCAAAATATTTTATATCACAGAGCATCTTCCAGCATAGGAACACACAATTTTCCTTTTAAAGTGCTCAAATTTTCATTTGCCTGGAGCTGTAATTGAGTGATTTGTGGTTACAATTTTTTTGCCTACATTGCACAATGAGGTTACTGGTTGGGCATTTCAAAAGCCCAGAAATCACTTGAAGTCATTCCTTTGGTAGGGAGCTAACGACTAATTTTCAAACCTACATTTTCACAGGTTTTTTTTTCCCAGTTAATTGGCTATTTATTTCATATTAAAAACATATATGCAGTATAGTAAAATTGAAATTAAAATAATTATGCTGGACAATTATTGCTGACACTTCCAAAAATATAAAACAGGTCAATATTTAGCGAAAGTTGGCCATTTTCCCCAAGCTTAAAATTCATTACAATCATGGTTTGTTTCTGCAGTGAAACACTTTTAAAAACAAATGATCTTTCCTCAATGTTTTGATTCAAGATATTCCCATTAAAAAAGATTCCATAACCAAAAATGAAAGTCAAGATAACATAAAGGTAAATGTGAATCATTTTGGTGAAGCCAACAATATGATGAAAACATTTCTGGCAGAGCAATCCTACCAACTAGATGTTCCACTGACATTGAGGATAACCCCTATTCCCAGCACTCCACACTTAAGAATTTGGTAGGCTTAGGACAATTTGCAAGATGTTGCCTTGCCTCAGGTTGAAAATCTGGTAAGAAACGTACCTTCTACACGGAGAGATGTGACCAGGAGCCTTGTGGTCCAGATGGAGGCGAGAAGCAACACCAGGCTGAAGCATTTGGCCATTATGCCAACCCTTTCTGAGCCAGAGAAACACCCTGGATGGTCAGTGGCTGTAATGGAAGCAGACAATCACCAGTCTGGATGGAGACTTCTGGAAATATATTGGAGCCCCACTGTTCCACTTCATAACTGAGACATCCGGATTTCCCTGCTTTCAAGCTTCTGACTTGGTCACTGGGGGAAATGAGTGACGTCCCTTAAATGCCCAGGCTGTACTTTGTGGATTGCTTTCTGGAAAATTTAGCTAATGCTGACTCAGAAAACAGACAAATGAGGAAGGCAGATAGCACAGCATGAACTGCTGGAGGTTTCCCCAATTCCCATATTCCCTGCCACCTCCCACTTCCCTCACCAACTCATTCTCACACAATTCATTGTTATTACCTGTGGAGCCTATTCATTTATATACTCCTAGGAGTGTCCATCTCTAAAGGAGATTGAGCATGGGTTGTGCTTCCTTTCTTCCCACAGTCAGTGATTTTTTTTTTTTTTCCTCCAGCTGTTTATCTTTGTGATCTGGGGAGGAATGATGCCAAGGCTCATGAAAGCAAATGCCCATTTAAATACTGAGTGCAGGGTGTTTATGCCTCCCTTTTCTTTTATGCACTTGAAATTTCTACACCACTCTAACTGATTCTTTTTTCAAGAAGCAAGACATACAGTTCATATTTAGAAAACACAGCTGGGGGACAATTCATGAAATTTTAGTCATTTTTCATTTTACAAAAGGGTTTTTGACTTTATAATAGTAATCAACATAGAGGTCCTTTATATGATAACTTTCTCCTTAAAAACTTCTCTTGTGTTCTGATAGACCAAAATTCAGTTTAGATTTCCCCTTTCTTCTTTGATGAATGTGAGGTTTATCTGTACTACATATGAGCAGACTGCACTCTCTTTCCCAGCTGGATATCCAGTGGTTTGTCTGCTATGGTAATTTTGGAATTCTGGCTTGCGAATAATGCTTTGAACAATGGCTTATGAGTTTTCTCCAAAATAAGTCATTTATAGGAATAGTGTATGGACAACAATTTCTTTTCTGTACAGGTGGTTTCAGTCATAAAGTTAGATATCTGTACAGAAAATACTCATAATGAAAGAAGAAATTTGCTCTGTATCTAGGTAACTTGCAAGAGACCAGGGGATAACTCTTAAATATCTCTACTATTTAAATATCTATAGACCTCATTACTTGGATGAGCACAAGCTGCAGGCTACAGGTACCTCAGAAACATATGTGATCTATCACCATGGAACCAGGTAGACAAGAAGGCAGGAATCATGTCTTTTTATCATTATCCTTAATGCCTAACACCATGCGTGAAAGAAAGTTAGCCTTCAAGTATTTGATAAAGCATTTCAAAAAGAAAGAAGAAAGGAAGACAGGAAGGGGAAAATGAGTCATGGAAGGCAAGGACCTAAATTCTGGAAACAAATTTCTAGAAGAGGAATTATTAGATAAAGGGAGTCTGCATGATGGTGCTGGTGCTTAATACTGAGTTTCTGGAAGAAGAAAGAATCTTATTTCATCTCTTTAAATTTTCTAATTCTTCTTGCTTGTTTTGGTAGGTTATTTTTGGATATCCATATTGAAAGAAATTAAGCCACCATTGGAATGTGATTGAGAATGCTTGACAGGAATTGTTGCCTCTGTGTTAAATGTGAATATTCTCAATCTTCAGTTGTAGGCCTCACTCCAGGCAAGTTTCTGAAGAGTTAGTCGCCAGGAGCTAAAAGCTAAACTGGAGAGCTATACAGAAAATATTGCCAGCTAATTTCTCTTCACTGTTTTGAGAAACGGTGTTTAAGATATGGAAAACAAGACAAAATAAAACAAAACCCAGCAGCACTATCCACTTCTGAAATAACAGCTTATGCTTACTGTCCATTAAAGAGGGCACATGGTGTAATGAGCACTGGGCTTTATATAAGACTGATGAATCACTGACCTCTACCTCTGAAACTAATAGTATGCTATGTTAATTAATTGAATTTAAATTTAGAAAAAGAAAAAAGTAAAGTAGCAATCTGCCCTAAAAAAAAATAAAATAAAATGATAGATCATGGTATAATCAAGGAGAATCAACAATTAAAGAAAAAATTTGTAGAATTAGAAGGGAAATTTGAAAAGTTATAATAGCAATCAAGTTGCAAAGGAGAGTAGGAAACAGAATATCCAGACCCATTTTCTTTTTTTAATCTGTTTTTAAAATTCCACTATAATATACAGTGTTATATTAGTTTTAGATACACAATATAGCTATTCAACACTTCCATGCGTTACTTAATGCTCATCACAATAAATGTACCTCTTAATCTCCATTATGTATTTCACCCATTCTCTACCCACCTCCCCTGTAATAACCATCAGTTTGTTCTCTATATTTAAGAGTCTGGTTTTTTTTAAATCTTCTTTTTTTGTTGTTCATTTGTTTTGCTTCTTAAATTAGACATGAGTGAAATCATATGGTGTCTTTCTCTGGTTGACTTATTTCACTTAGCATTATACCCTTTAGATCTGTCCATTTTGTTGCAAATGACAAGATTTTGTTCCTTTTTATGGCTGAATGATACACCATATCATCTTTATCCATTCATCTATTGATGGACACTTGGGCTGCTTCCATAATTTGGCTATTATAAATAATGCAGCAAACATAGTTGTGCTTTTATCCTTTTGAATTAGGGTTTTTGTATTCTTTGGGTAAATCCACTACTGTAATTACTGAATTATAGGGTAGTTCTGTTTTTAATTTTTTGAGGAATCTCCATACTGTTTTCCGGAGTGGCTGTACCAGTTTGCATTCCCACCAGCAGTGCGGGGGGGGGGGGCCTTTCCCTCCCCATCCTCACCAACACTTGTTGTTTCTTGTGTTTTTGATTTTAGGCATTCTGACAGATGCGAGGTGATATCTCATTGTCGTTTGATTTGCATTTCCCTGAAGATGAGTGATGTTGAGCATCTTTTCATGTCTGTTGGCTTATCTTTGTGATGTGGGAAACAGAGGCAGAAGAAAAATTATTAAATTTCCTTACCCACTGACAAACCCTTAAAACAGGCAGAGTGACATTCCTGTAGAGACTCAACTGCCTCCATCTTAATACTTTGCTAAGGGCAAAGGGCAGTTGTAGCCTGACTGACCCCTACCCCCAACCAGGATCCTGTAAGTCTACTTTAACAATTCCTTTGGAAACTATCTCTAAACCCTCCAAGATGCGGTTAACAGTCATTCCCAAGCATACGGCCCACTGATATACATTTAAAGGGTCTCACCACAAAGGTTTTATTACCATTAATGAGTAACCTTTTCCCCAACAATAGCTAGCACCTCAAGGTCCTGGAAACCTTGCTTCCAAAATTCCTTAGAGACCTAGGCCATCCCTGACCCCCTCCCAGCTTGCAAGCATATAATAGACCATTCCTCACAGCCCCAGGGCAGCATCAATTCCTGCACACAGGTCCTGTCCCCATGCTTTAATAAACCACCATTTTGCACAAAGATGTCTGGAAAATTCTTTCTTGGTCATCGGCTCAGGACCTCACCCCACCGAACCTCACTTATATTCTAAGACTTCTTCATCATTTGTATGTTTTCTTTGGAGAAATATCTGTTTATGTCTTCTGTCCATTATTTAATTGGATTATTTTGTTTTGTTTTCGAGTTGTATAACTTCTTTATATATTTTGGTTACTAACCATTTATTGGATATATCATTTACAAATATCTTCTCCCATTCCACAGAAGTAGATTGTCTTTTACTTTTGTTGCTTATTTCCTTTGCTGTTCAGAAGCTTTATATTTTGAGGAAGTCCCAATAGTTTATTTTTGCCTTTATTTCCCTTGCCTCAGGAGGCATATCTAGAAAAATGTTGCTACCACCAATATAAAAAAAAAAATTATTGCCTGTGTTCTCTTCAAGGATTTTTATGGTTTCAAATCTCATGTTTAGGTCTTTAATACATTTTGAGTTTATTTTTCTGTATGGTGTAAGAAAGTGGTTTAATTTCATTCTTTTGCATGCAGCAGTCCAGTTTCCTAATACCATTTACTGAAGACTGTCTTTATCCCATTGCACATTCTTGTCTCCTTTGTTGTAGATTAATTCACCATATAATTGCGGGCTTATTTCTGGGCTCTCTATTCTGTTCTATTGATCTATTCTGTTCTATTGTGTCTATTTTTGTGCCAGTACCATACTGCTTTGATTACTACAGCTTTGTTGTATACCTTGAAATCTGGGATTATGACACCTCCACTTTTTTTTTTCTTTTTCAAGATTACGCTTGCTATTTGGGGTCTTTTGGGGGTCCATACAAATTTTAGGATTATTTGTTCTAGTTCTGTGAAAAATGCTGTTAGTGTTTTGATAGGGATTGCATTAAATCTGTAGATTGCTTTAGGTAGTATGGACATTTTGACAAGATTTATTCTCCCAATCCACAAACATAGAATTTCTTTGCATTTCTTGTATTATCTTCAATTTCTTTCATCACTGTTTTATGGTTTTCAAACTACACGTCTCTCACCTCCTAGATTATGCTTATTCCTAGGTGTTCTATTATTTTTGGTGTAATTGTAAATGGTATTGTTTTCTTAATTTCTCTTTCTGCTGCTACTTATTAGTATTTAAAAATGCAACAGATTTCTGCATATTGATTTTGTACCCTTTTACTTTACTGAATTCACTTATCAGTTCCAGTAGTTTTTTGGTGGACTCTTAGGGTTTTCTATATATAGTATGTCACCTGAAAACTGAAAATTTTACTTCTTCCTTACTAATTTGAATGACTTTTATGTCTTTTTCTTGTCTGATTGCTGTGACTAGGACCTCCAGTACTATGTTGAATAAAAGAGCTGAGAGAGGACCTCCTCTTCTAGTTCCTGATCCTAGGGGAAAAGCTTTTAGTTTTTCACAATTGCGTATGTTGTTAGCTGTGGGTTTTTCAAACATGGCCTTTATTATGTTGAGGTATATTATCTCTAAACCTACTTTGTTGAGGGTTTTTATCATGAAGGGATGTTTACTTTGTCAAATGCTTTTTCTGCATCTATTGAAATGGTCACATGATTTATATCTTTTCTTTTGTTAATGTGATATATCACATTGATTCATTTGCAAATATTGAACCACCCAGGAATAAATCCTACTTGATTATGGTGAATGATTTTGTTAATATATTGTTGGATTTGGTTTACTAAAATTTTGTTAAGGATTTTTGCATCTATATTTATCAGAGATTGGCCTATAGTTAGTTCTCTTTTTTTGTGCTATCTTTATCTGGTTTTGGTATCAGGGTAATGTTGGTTTCATAGAATGAATTTGGAAGTTTTCCTTCCTCTTCTATTTTTTTGGAGTAAT